CCTTAACCGTACTTTCGAAATATGTAGGCCTATAAACATGCAGTTACATGTTCTGTCACATATTTGGCCTGCAAACTTTTGAGGCCACAGGAAGTTGTAGTCCACAATTCTCAATTAACACACATGTAGCCACCATTGTGTTTTTGTTCAACTATGTGTCCTGCAACATTATGGGGCCACCCACACAAAAAAGTAAAACGGTTAGGGGCATCACCCGGGAATATGATTGTTAAATAGTTGTTAAATTTTAACATCCATTTAACATCATTTAACATCCAATTACCTTTAAAAGTAAATGACAATTGATGTTAAATGTTGTTAAATTGATGTTAAAATTTAACATCAATTTAACATGTATGGGAAATATAATTTAGGGACATCCCTGGATTACAATTTCCTGTGGGCTCAACCTGTTGAAGGCCACATATTTGACAGAAGGGAATTTCTGGGATGCGTTTGCAGGCCAACTATATGACAAACCATGTGACTACATGTGTATGGGCCAGCATATGTTGAAGGTATAGTTAAGGAACATCTCTGGACTACAGTTTCCTGTGGCCTCAACATTTTGCAGACCAAATGTATGACAAAGGACATTGGTGACTACACAATTTCATGGGCCAACAAATTTAAGAAAAGAAAGGGACATTCCTGGGTTACAGTTTCTTGTGGCCTCAAACATTTCAAAGCCAAGGATTTGACCGTTCAATTGGGAACATAGTTGGACTACAACTTCCTGTGGCCTCAAAGGGTTTGCAGGCCAAATATGTGACAGAACATGTAACTGCATGTTTATGTGCCTACATATGTTGAAAGTATAGTTAAGGAACATCTCCGGACTACAATGCGCTGTGACCTCAACATGTTGCAGGCCAAATGTATGACACAAGAAATTGGAAACTACACAATTTTATGTGCCAGCAAATTCCAAAAACAAAACGGAGTTACAGTCTCTTGCGGCCTCAAACATATGCAGGCCAAAGCTTTGACAAACAAATTGGTGACTGCAATTGTTGAATTAAGGACGATATTTGGACTACAAATTTACGGCGGCCTCGAACATTTGCAGGCCAAATGCTTGACATTGAGCATTTGTTGGACTGCAACTTCCTGTGGCCTCAAAAGTTAGCAGGCCAAAAACTTGACAAAACATGTGACTACATGTCTATGGGCCAACATATGTCCAAAGTACGGGTAAGGAACATCTCCGGACCACAATGCGCTGTGACCTCAACATGTTGCAGGCCAAATGTATGACAAAAGGGATTGGTAACTACACATTTTTGTGGGCCAACAAATTCAAAAATAGAGAAAGGGACAATCCGGGGTTATAGCCTCTTGTGGCCTCAAACATTTGCGGGCCAAAGAATTGACAGCAACTTGTTATTTAAGGAACATATTTGGACTACACATGTGCGGCGGCGTCAAGCATTTGCAGGCCAAATGCTTGACAAATAAGTTGGTAATTACAATTTGGGATAGTTGAACATCTTTTGACAAATGCAATACAATTAAGGAACATATTTGGACTACAACTTTCTGTGGTCTCAACATTTTGCAGCCCAAACTTGTGTCAGACAAATTGGTGACTACATGTTTTTATGTGTTAAAGTATTTCGACGAAATAATTATCATGGATGGCACCCTTTTCTCAAGGGGTTTTGGGCCAAGAGTGACACCCTCTTCCCAAGGAGTCGCGGTTACTCGTGGGTGACACCCTCTTTTCGAGGGGTTGACACCCTCTTTTCGAGGGGTTTTGATTTCAATTAAGATGGCCCAACATGATTTGCCCTAGAACTCGCAACCACACAGGGAAAACTAGTTAGCGTTCCATGTTTGGGGTTCGCTCTCAATTCCACGTGCTTCCCAGCAATTCATTTGTGATCAATTTTGATCCAACGCATCGTTGATCAAAATTTGCAAAAACAAGTTGACCCATATCATGTTTTAAGTGGGACGCCTGCAAAAAATATGTTCATACTATCTGGCATAATTCCAGCACCATCCACCCTGGCCAATGGACCAATTGAAAGCCAGCAACCCATTTTTTTCTGGTTCATCATGTTTTCATAAATTTCCACGCCACCAAACCCAAAGAAGGCAAACGCAATGAAGATAACAAAGTTCCCATGAGAAAAGGGAAAGCAAAGGTGATGAAAAGTGTTTTGAACATAACTGCGACATGTTGGCCAGGTGACGCCTGCAAAGGCACAAAGAAAATCAACATCAAGCGAAGGAACAAAAACAGGAGAGACACCGCAAGCAATCTCAGGGCAATGCTGGGGAAATGGGAGGGTCCCAGGGCTTGGTCCAAGTACCAAACATCAACCAAAGACAAAAGTAAAAGAAAGGGAACAGTTTGTACACCCGTGAAGCCGGCGAAGCCGGTTGGCAGACGTTTCAAAACTAGAAGAACGATAGTTTGCAGCAGGCTTGTTTTCCCCTTCTCTGTTTTTCTCTCTCTCTCTCTCTTTCTCTCTCTCTCTCTCTCTTTCTCTCTTTATCTCACTTTGTCTTTGTCTTTGTTTCTCTCTTTCTCATTGTCTTTTTATTTGTCATGTTCTTTCTCTTTCTCTCTTGCTCTCTTGCAATCTTTATCTCTTTATCTTTCTCTCTTTGCCTCTTTCTCTCCTTCTCTCCTTCTCTCTTTCTCTTTGTCTTGTTATTCCTTGCTTTCTAAATTCATGTCTTGATTTATTTATTTATGTTTTCTTTCTTTAGGTATTTATGTTTGTCTTTCTTTATTTATAGTTATTTATGCATGTCTTTCTTTTTGTTGATTTATTTCGTCATTTATTTCTTCATTTATTTCATTGTTTTCTGTATTGGTTTATCTCTTTATATCATTGTGTTTTTTATTTCTTGAGTTATTTCTTTCTTTATGTCTTCCTTTCGTTGTTTATGTTCCTTCTTTGTTTCGTTATTTATGTGTTTAGGTATTTCTTTCTTTATTTATTTCTTTCGTTATTTCGTTCTTTCTTTCTTTCTTTCTGTCTTTCTTTCTTTCTTTCTTTTTTATTATGTTTTCTTTCTTTCTGTCTTTTTGTCTTTCTCTCTCTCTTTCTATCTTTCTTTCTTCATCTTTCTCTGTCTCTTTCTCTTGCGCATTTTTCACTTCTTTCTCTTTCCCGCTCTCTTGTTGTTTTTATCTTTCTCTTCCTCTTCATATTTCCCTTTCTCTTCTTTTTCTCTTCTTTTTCTTTCTCGTCATCTCTCTCTCTCTCTCTCCCCTTTTTGGAACAAGGAGGAGCCCTGCGCTCCTTTTGGAGCTGACAGCCCTTGCCTTGCGCCTTGCAGCAAGTGTTCTTTTCATCTCCTTCGCGCGTCACCGCTGCGGCCTGGGAGTGGAAACAGGAATGCCATTTGTTTTTTGAGCGGGGTGAAACATGCAAATGTCTGAAACTGATTAAGTGGGCACAAAGCGCGCAAGTGCAAGCTTTCAGGAGCTAGCGACTACCTTCTTTTCGCGTACAATCAAGCACATTTAGGAGCAAGCGGCTTCCTGATTTTTGCTTACGGGCTATAGAGACTGTAGGAGGAGCCCAAGGCATCCTACGCTTTGTGCTAATGACAAAACATGTCACGCAACTAATCGTCTGAACAAACTCTGTTTCCAGCGGATTCTGCAACAGTATATAAAGCGAATATCATGCGAAGATGTGCCCGAGGCATCTGCGATATGGAAATGGAAAGTCATGCCATGCAACAAAACTCAGCGAATATACTACGAGCATGCGCAGCTGACCCACGTCGGTTGACACGGATCCACGTCAACCCGAATCCTCGTCAAGTGTTTTTTACACGAATCCTCGTCAACTCGAATCAGCGCTGAAAAAAACGAATCCTCGCCATCGAATCCTCGCCGGAAGGACTGGGTATGGCGCTCCAGAACAGGAAGAGGGCGATGGCCGACAGCCTCTGCAACTCGCCAGTGAAGTTGAGTTGGGCCGAATTCGGCCCTAAACGACGCGACTTCCAAGATGCTTCCCCAGGACTTCGAGTACCTGTGCACGTACCCCGGTCCAAGTTGTAGACTAGCTGCTTGAGGAAGCATCGCCGCCGCCCCGCTTATGGCGATGCGGTTAGCAGCCCTCTCCTGGGTGATCTTGTGCTGAATGAACTCGTTCACAACACGGCCTGTCAGGTCCGCTGTCGCCTTGTCTTGCTCCAGGATCCAGCTATCACTGTCTTGAAGCCAGAAAGGTTAGCGGAGACGACAGCAGACCTAGACAAGACGGTGAGTGCTGTCACAAGTTCATCGTCACGTAGATCTGGCTGTAGCTCCCGTAGTGCCATGATAACTTCAGCTCTATATGAGTAACAGTCGCTGCCCGCCGCATCTCTCGTAAGTCCAACTCCACGAAGTAGTTAGCGAGGTACTCGGTCATGCGCCCCGGGATGCCGATACTGCCGGTGTCAGGTTCTTCTCCGACTCTTCCTCCAGAGATGTCATTGCCATCTAACTTGTCCTTCCACCTGCTGTTCAAGTCCAAGAGTGTGCCACAGAAAAGGACAACGGTGCCCTCAAGACACACAAACGACACGCAACACGCAGACAGGTTAGAATAAGTTGGTACCAACTTTTTCAGGACGTGTATTTTGGTAGGGGAACCCTCCCAACCAAAAAAGTTGGGTGAGAAAGGGCACCTAGAAGGGGCACCTAGCGTATCTCTAGGGGTTGATTCCCCCTTCTTTTCAACCACCCTTCTTTTCAAAAACCGGCTCCGTTTCCCCCGGGTTTTGGATGGTTTCCTGAAAAGATTCGGATCCCGTTCAGAATGGAATTGGTACTAGAGTTTACCACTCAAAACGTGCAAAAGACCGAGGGAAACGCTTGAAACGCTTCAAGTCCAGGAGCTGAAAAGGGGCTGAAAAGGGGCACCTGGCGCAACGGATCTCAGGAAGTTTGAGACACCTCTTTAAGATAGGTTCTATGGGTGGTGACTTCACCGGGACCCCCAAAATGGGATCCCAACACGGTTTTGACCACCGTCTCACTCCTGGAAGTTCGACGGCGCGCCGTCCACGATGCCGTTGCCGTGCATCGAGGGCCCCCCGTACTTGTGAGTGCCTCCCAGGGTCCCAGGCGGACGAGCTCCGCCGACGCGCCGAGCGACGCGCCGACCGGCGCCGGCAAGCGACGCGGAGAAAGAAACGGGCAGGAGGCGCGCGTCTCGTTAGACTTGTACGTCTGAGACAGAAGATGGGGACCTAGTCTTGTACACCCTTCGGCATGCAAACAAGTGGTACCGCACATTTCGATGGGCAAGAGGTCACATGAGTCATAATCAAAACCCGGTATCCAAATGGTCGACTCAGAACCATGCTTCGAGAATTAGGAAGGCGGATATCCGCAGCTGTTTATGGTTGGGATTGTCCCTTACTATCCTTCATCTACCCGGGTTTTGATTGTGGCGCATCTGATGGGGATGCCAAGTTGATTTTGCTTTTTTGAACGAACACTATGTACAGGAGTTCATGTTTGAGGCTGTGTGTATATATATATATATGAACCCACCCATGGATCCACTTTGTGGTCTTAAGAAGTCCTCTCAAATAGTTCTTGTGTATTGACAGTACGCATTGTTCATCCCGGACGGCCTGGCAGCGTAGGTTCTAAAGTTTGTACACGGATGCTCAAGATGCATCACCATGAAAGTGCTTGCGCCAAACCCCTGCCCGGAGTCTGATCTCTGGGGGTACTCGCTAGTACAGCATGCATGTTTACAGTGTATTCCAGCATTCGGCACATAAAAAGCTTTAAATAACCCTTTTAAACTCTTGCTTCACATGTGTAGGCTAGATTTGACTTGTTCTAATGCATACAAATGCCATACAAATGCAATTGATAAACCTCATTTCAAAAAGCAAACAAACACAAATGACATATGACACAAACAAAACACAAACACCTCGAGGAAACCACACATACACACTTGATATGAGACGGCGAAACTGCCAAGGTGCACCCCCAAGCTGGCACAGACGGTTTGAAGGTCTCCGCGAGGGCAATGGAGTTTCGGCTTACTGCATGCTCAAACATCTTTCGTGCCACCGACCATCCTCTTCAGGAACGCCATCGGTAGGTGACACTACTTCATGTTGAGACATCCAGCAAGGTGGCGTTCGACTCCAATAAAGAGAGAAAAGCACGACCGCAAAACCCCTTAGGAACAGGGGGGCCACACACACACCCCCCGCAGGGGGAAGAAAAACCGAACTGCCTAAAAGCCGCCTCCATCATGATTGCCGATGGGTAGTTTAGACTGTTGGCAGAACTCCTGCCTAACTGCTCACGATCATTTGACCATGTAGCATCGCCGTCTGAGCTCAGGTGCATTGGTTCGAGATGGTCGCTTTCTGGTGCTGCTCCTTCAACTTTCTGAGACGTTCCAGGCTCCTCCAGCGCTGCGTGACATCCGCAATGGACCTGTTGAGCTTCTTGGCCAGCGATTTGTACGAGTACTTGGACCGGTTGTCCGCTTTCAGGCTGCAAAGCTGCTGGTCATCTTCCTCTGTCCAGGCGCGAGGTACTCCGGGGGAGTTCCTGGATTGCCAGCATCGGAGTGAGCACGAGCAGGGGCTTCAGGAAGGGATTCAGGAGAGGAGAATGGGCCCACGCAAGGAGATACCGGAGCCGGCGCTGGAGTGCGAGGTACTGGACGCGCTGGAGGCTCCGGGGAGTGTGTCCTCTCGGAGGATGTAGCTCGGCATCGCTTCCGCTTCGCTCTGCGCCGACCGGTCTCACCCTTGTCCATGATGGAGCTGGGAACATTGGCCTTCTTGATGCTCGGCTGACCGACATGGGTGTGCGCCATGGAGCTCTTCGGGCGTGGATCTATAGCGTCGTTGGCATCCCCCGTGACGATGCCGTAGGACAGCGACTTGGGGTTGACCACCGCGTTGCGCTGGTGGTCCACGTGTAGCTGGAGTGACTGAGCGTCGGCTAGCGGTGGAGGGTCAGCCAGATCCTCCGAGTTGACCGAATGCCGAATCCCGGGGCCAGGTGGTTCTACCTCATCGAGTCGGGCAGCTCGCGGTCGCGAGGATTCTGCCAGCGATAGACCTCGGAGATGAGGATGCCACGCGCCATCGTGCCCGCCATGAATCCTGCGACTTTGTGCCTCGTCAGCCTGATTCAAGGTCTCCTGGATGAGCTGCATCATGTCCGCAGCGTTCTGGGTCATCCGGTGGTGGAGTGCAATCATGCGTCCGAGCATGACGACCACGTTCCGATATCGGCGAAAAGGCCCACGTCTTGAACCACCAGATAAGCTCCGTGATAAACCCGCGAATCAAATGGCTCCGGAACTCAAACAGAACAAACCAAGCCCAACAGCCCAACCGAGCCCGACCCCGTTTGGGAAAGACCGAACCAAACAAGACCAGCAAGGGCCACGCAGCCGAACCTCAAGAGACAACGACAATCAGCACATAAACATTCTTTCCGGTTGGGATGGCCGGAAGATGAAACAGGTGCTGCAGATCCGCTGACTTGTAGCCGGCGGACAAATAGATACTGCGAAGCTGATCCAACGCCATCTGTACTGCCCGTGTCGGGTGCGCATACTTGGTGGCGAGAGCTGACCGTGATCTAGCCCCGGAGAGAAGGGTGGAGAGACTTCCTGCAGTGTGGGGTCCTCTGATCTGCCAGATTTTTGTTGGGGTTTTGTAGTAAATCGCCCGGTCGCCTACGTCGATGACAAAGCCGAGGAACTCAGAGGAACCTACCTGTTCCAACACGATGGGTGCACCATAAAAGTCAGCGTGAAGCAAAGCCTCCAATGGGGCTGCTGGGTGACCGGAAGCCGGGGACGGGAAGATCACAAATCTGTTGTCGACATATCGCTCCAAGAAGATGTTGTGGCTGGCGAACCATTGTCCGTAAATACGCTGCCAGAGTTCGTGCCGCGCGACGCAAATGTGACTGAGGACTGGGCTCAGCTGAGAGCCAATCGCTGTTCCGTGGACTTGGCGAAGAATGAGGGTTCCCACCTGGACGTACATGCATTGGAAGCTGGATCTGACTATATCCAAGATGTCCTCCACATAAATGACCCGCGTGGTCGGTGTGCGTCCGTAGGATTGCTTACCCGCAAAGACCCGGTTATAGTGGACCGCCGCCTGAGTTTCCACTGAATAGATGAGACCAGCATGCTCTCGCCGGTGCTCTGCTAATAGCTGCTCAACTGCTGCGCACACCTGATCCTGAGGGACACTGTTGAAGAAGCCGACCAAATCGTCATTGTGAAATGCAAGAGTGACTGTATCGTCTGTGTTGTCAAAGTATTGTTTGACGTTCTGCCATATCCTCGGCGTGGGGTGTACCCCCCACGAACACTTCCATGTACTCGCGGCGATCTCGCCGAGAAGGATCGCAACCGCTTTGAAGAGCTGCCGGTGCACCACCTTATGGTAGGCTATAATAGTTCGCCCTGATTTCCATTGCTTCTTACGTTTGAGAAAGACCTTGCCGACCGGGATCGCGGTGGTCTTCTTCCTGTATGCCCATTTGTACCTCTTCTGCAGGTGCCGCGGGATAGCTTCAACAATAAGAGCCTCGGCCTGGTCGGGCTTCAGCGAAGTGGCGGCAAATGTGCCGGACTGAAGGCAGGTGTTGTGGAGGCCTTTGAAGTAGAGTTGGGGGCAGAAGAACATGAGGTGGTGGTTGTCATGGTCCTCGTTATGGCACACAAAGTCCTGGCTGAGGTGCCGATGCAGGATGTTCAGCTGGTGCCTGGTGAGAAGTTGATGGGCGGATGCGTGCTGCCGGTGTTTCCGAAATTCATTGCGTAGGTGCTGCATGAGGGGTGCGTGGAATTGGTCCAGGGGCAGACCGTGGTGCAGGCACCATTTTCGTAGACGTTCATGAACCTGCACTTCGTAGACGGACAGGTCCACATAGTATGACGCCAAGGCTGAGGTGTAATGAACATGCTGTGGAGTTCCGGGAAACCGGAACTCATCCAATCCCGCGGCCACATGGCCTTGAACATGAGATAGCCAGGGCTGCCGTTTTAGCCAGGCTGCGCACTGACACGATGATGGTCCTGCGGATGTGAGGAGGTAATTGTCCTGAAACAACGAGTAGTTCCACATGACTGTATGGACTCGAGGATGAGGGGTCTCCGCCAACTTCGTGCTGGGCAAGTGGAATGGAAGAGCCCAGTTGCGATGGTCGAGAACCAGCCGACGAAGGACTTCCCTGGTGGACCGCTGATACTGGGGATGAGAAAGCCACGGTAACCGCAACAACAAGTTGATCTTGGGTTGTTGGAGTTGGCGAAAATCAAGAACTCTTCGCAAAATATTCCGAACTCGATGCCGATGGGGCTGTTCCACATTGCCTGACAGCCTGTATATAGCATATATATCCAAGTCTGAGTGCCTTCCACTACGAAGTCGTTTTTCCTCCTCCCAAGATTCAATGTGCTCCGAGGTGAGGCGACCGATGATGGACCAGGCTTGGGTGTGTTTGAGTGCCACCCGATGGAAGTTCCTACCGTAGACTGTACAACTCCTCCTGCGCAAGCGGAGGAAAAGGCGTTTGCCGAACCTGGACCAGGGCTGTTCGGCGAGAAACCTGGTAGCCGTGTAGCCTGTGGAGATGCGCTTGTACCGCCGATAGATGTAGGGCCAGTTGAGGGAGGGCTGATAGATGCTAATCAAGGCGTGTTCCTGTGTCCAGGTCACGGTATGGTCGGAGTCTGTGAATATAACCCATGTAGCAAACTCGTCATAGTTGCCAAAATGATACCACCATCTGAGGGCCGGCTCTGCATTAATAAACTGTCCGTGCTGAATACCCAGTAACTTGGCCCTACGATTGTGTTCTCGACTGGGATAAGTGATGCTGGTGCTGCCAATGTATACGTCCGACTGCGGATTGACTGAGCGTGGAAGGTCCGGGCGGAGTTCGACTCGCTGCTTCCAGTACACTGCGTTGGGCTGCAAGAAGTGGGTGAAGGTGTACATGTTCGGGTGGATGCGCAAACGCCGGAGTCGGCGCCTGAGCTCCGTGAGCGCATGCGTGGGACGACCGTAGTGATGGACCATCAGCAGCGTGGACAT